AACATGGAATGTGGTTTTATCTGAAAATTAAACCTTATTGAACATTGAAATATTGAGATGATGAATTTCAGTACGTCCGTGATGGTATGATAGAAAAACCAAAGTGGGTGGAATACATAACTAAGTCAACAGTAACTGATTGCTGCAATAAGTAGACTGATTGATTGTATTTAATATTTACTGTATTGTAGTAGAAATTGACACGGCACAATTTGACGTTGATCCTAACAATATACTTTTTCAAGTATTTTAAAACGACATTTTTGCTTAGTGATATGATTAGACATAGAGAATATATTCTTTTTCTATGTTTGTTTGAAGGTGGTGGACATGGTGAATTTCATTAGTTCGGACTTGTCTAATATGATAGTTCGGTCTCAAAATCTTGCTATCGAAATTATTATTTTTTCAAGTGAATTGTGAAACATTTTAGTATTTAGCCTACAGTTGCCAGCTCTAAAATTTGTACAACAAAGCAGATTGTTCTTTGGCAATATTTTAATTTTATGTATTGTTAACTCATCTTGTATGGGTTTTCCAGTTGGTTTTCTAACGTACGGGTCTTTTCTAATCCACTTATCCTCATATAATTCAATATTCTCGAATATCTTTTCTCAAGCGACCCGTATATTTAAGTCTATTTCACGTAAATAATGTAAGCTACAAATAGCTAGATTTTCAATTCCTTTCAATTCCATTGCATTTTGTAAAATTTATCATTACGTTTGAAACCTTGTAAGAGTACAGTAAGAATTAAATCTTGTCTTGTCTCCAAAACATCTAGCCAGTTATTTTTTTCATCCTATCTTTTCACAAGAGTTAATGTAATTCTTGTGTTTCTAGCCGATTCTAGCTTGATGGCGTCAGCGGCAGATCGCTCACCGCAACGTTGCCGCTGTTTATGTTTAATATTATGACAATTAGATTTTTTTGTGGAATTTTCGGAAGCTTCTCTGATTTTTGCAGTTTGTATTTTTTAAATTAAAATCGTTGTAAGAGCTACCAGAATTGCCTCCGCGAGCTACCGGTAGCTTGCGATCGACAGGTTGGCTACCACTGTCCTAGGAGAACAACTCCTCGGGACGATGTACAATGGGTCACATGTGACCTAAGTGCTATGGGCTTACACTCACCCTCCCTATTCTACAGATACTGATACAGAACATATATCCATGCTTCACATACACATGGAATGATGATTTAAATGAAGGGTTGCTTGCACCAATTTCTAAAAAACAGAGACTTATGATTGTGAATGCAGGAGGAGAAAATGGATTTGTGGAAAATTCATATCTAAAATTCAAATTCAATACAATATCGGCTGACTATCATAGCAAAATGAATTACGACAAATACAAAAAGCGATTGCAAAAAATGTTAATTCCCAGTCTTCCAGAAAAAACGTTTTGGTTATAGACAATGCCCCATACCACAATAATCAAACATGTCCTCGAGGAGAGATGAGATGACAGAATAGTTAAGACGACGGAACATTCATTTCACGGATGATATGCTAAACCACGATTTAAGTTATATGGAATGGTAAGGATAAAGGAAAATCATGGACATACTGTACTCAGATTGCCTCCTTATCATCCAGATTTGAAGTCAATAGAATCAGTAAGGACATCACTGAAATGATATATGACTGATAAAAATGTGGAGTTCAAATCCGTTGAAAGTTTATGTGACGAATTCTTCACTTCGTTTTCTCAAGAGCAGTGGAAAAAAACGTTGTGAACACTATATAGAGTATAGAAGAATTTCATGCCTCAAAGGAACTTGCACTTAATTTCGCTATAGAAAAAATTATTATAAACGTTCGAAGTGATAGTGACAACGATAGTACCAGTGAGAATAGTGAACTCTACAAGCGATTCCGATCTATCTGGAGTGGAACCTTTGTAATTTTTCGATCATAACTCCAATTATTTTTTTGTTTGGATTCAATCATCTTGATATAATGCTTCCTAGAAAACTTTCATTTTGAAATTTAATCTTTAACCCAAATAAATTACATTTTTAGAATAAGTCTTTCTACCTTTCCTTAATACACCAGTAATTAAATTCAATACAGACTGCTGAATAACAAATTCACTTAAATTGAATTACGTAAATACCGTTCTATTCTTATTGCTATTTGCGGCAAGGACTGTACTCTCAGGCCAGTCTAAAACCCAAATAGGCGCACCTAGTCGCATGGTAGATTTCATCCTTTTCAATTCTAATACGTTCTCCGTCAGAAGTGTACGTAGGTGGTGGATATGTTACAAGTCGCTTCCTACATTTGCCAAGCTGTATGTTTGTTAGACCGAGACTTTGTAGTATGTAGTATTTTCATCAATCTACCTCTCGAATGAAATTAGATATCAATTCAAAATCTTCAGTGAATGTGGAGATGCTTTTATGGTGGTTCATAAATTTCATTTGAATCGGAAAATCGAAAAACTGTTTTTTCGAACTCCAATTCTATTTAATATCTCCACAATGACTACAGATACTAAAAACGTTCTATATGCGAATTATTTTTTCGGTAGCTATAATGAAATTAAAATATTTTCTCTTCATCTCTGAAACAATTGAAAGTTTCAAAATTTTATTAATTTCGAATAGTTCTATGGAAATATGTATTCATAAATATGGTCGCTTCATGAAATATCTAGAACAACATTTTGTTAAAATAGTTTTTGTTGAACACGATGAATTATAAATAAGATTGTTTCCCGTAAAGTCGAACACTTTTCGAAGAAACTAGAAAATAGATACATTGCAGCTCTGTCGCAGTATTCAAATTGTTGGTTTCCAACTGAGGTTTCAACACTGAAATTGCAAAGACTGCTTCTCAAAAACTTGGAATAGTGTTCCATCCCTAGCAACTTTTGCTGCTGTATAAAGCTCAGATCAGACCTTCTTTGGAGTATTGTTCTCATGAATGGAGCTACGCCCCTAAGCATACCCTGGAGCTACTGGATTCCATCCAGGAAAGAGCCATCCGCCTGATTGAAGACGCGAATATAACTTGCAAACTTGATAGTCTGGAAATAGGTTGGGAATTTGTCACTCTTTTATAAATACTGGGGGTGTTCAAATAACTTCACTGTTTGAGAACTCTTTCATTTGGAGAATAGCGTTTATGTGGAATAAACTTTCTAAGAACGTTTTCCCAAATGAATTTAATTTCCAGCAATTCATATTCATCTCCAGCGCCGTAAGGATTTTCCTGTAGTGCTTGTGTTTTGTGCTTAGAAAAAATATACGAAATCAAGTTGGAACTACTATCCGGTATATGACTGGCAAAAGTAATCAGATGATTGACATAATACGAATACGTAAAGTCGCTGCCTTTCCTAGTGTACCGCCACTGATCATAGCTATTCCAAGTCTATATAGTGACGTCTCATCGTCAATGGCAATGGCAATGGCAATGGGTCAAGCATACTACAATTGACGAGAATATTTCGATGGCGTTCAATTACAGTATGTATAATAGTACATCAAGTTTTCCAACATAATTACTTCAGGTTATTTTATTATTTATTAGAAAAGAACCCACATGAACGTGGCATTTTTAAGGACATCTGATTACTTTTTGCCAGTCATATACCGGATGGTAGTACCAACTTGATTTTGTATATTTTTTGTAAGTACAAAACACAAGCACTACAGGAAAATCCTTAACGTGCTCTCAGATCGGTGCCTGTGCGAAAGTAGCGTATCACATTGGATTTGAATCGCTGAAGGTTAAATTCATTTGGAAAAACCTTCTGATATGTACCGCTCTTGGTGGAATCAAATGTGCCAAGTCACTTGAACACTAAGTATCTATAGAAGAGAGACAAATCTCCAACCTATCTACGATGTTCAAGGCTATCAAAGTTGTACGTGATGTTCGCGTCTCCAGGCGCATGGCTCTTTTCTGGATGGAATCCAGCAACTTTAGGGTATGTTTGAAAACAGCGGCAAGACAAAACAATACTTTTTGAAGAATTATATTGAAGAAAACTGCATTCGGTTCACGTTTGGGAAGTTTGGGTGTGGTAGGTACTTATGTATCCTACAAGTTCATTCATCTAAAAAAGAGAAAAATGAATGTATATTCATCGCGATGAAAAGAAAATTGAAACTTTCTTTTCTAACCGCTTCTATAAAAGTGGTAAAAAACAGAGAAAGTTTCAATTCTCTTTTCTTCATTATGATTTCCTACCACGTAGTAACGGGTTTATCCATCAATTTATTTATATTCATCTGAGTTATAACAAAAACCTAATGCGTCTCGGGGACATCCAAAAAAATCTAACACCGACTCCGAACGGAATCGTAAAAGATAAGAAAGAATCTTTTCCAAGATGTTGGGAAGAGCAAATGACCTTTTTTTCTCGTCGCGTCGTCATGTTGAACGTTCTCCACATCCGCTTAATGACGGCGTCTTGTGAGAGCAACTGCCCCCCACACCCAGCCTGAACACAATGATACATACAATGGAACGTCTCCCGGTTAATCCGCAACCAAAGCAGGAATTACATCCTGCTGTGCAGGAGCACCACTGAGGGGCGTGGCATTCAGGATTGGACAAGGTTGAAATGAATTGTGTTTGTAACATTTCGTCGGATTTGTCACAGCAATGTTGTTTGAATCCATTTTCAACCCTAAAAATAATCTCAAAATAACATTTTTTCATAATTTTTTAATATAATGATAATATAATTGTTTTTTTCGTAAATTGAAAGAAAATTTTCGACAATATCATTCGATCATTTCGAAAGCAAAACAGCAACAAGTTATTATTACTTGTTGAGTAATAATAATAATATGAGGATAATAATAATAATACTTATCTTTGAGGGTGATGGAAGAGTACACACATGCTATCGGTATGAAATTTGGGATAGACAAATGTGCAATGGGCCATCTCAAAAGAGGACGATGCGGTGACTACGGATGTGCAGCTCCTATATGGAAGCATCCTACACCATTTGGATGACCGAAAGACGTATACTTACCTCGGGGTGGAACAACGCCACTAACAAGGGGTAACAGCAGTGAAGAACTCTCTCTGCAGCAAGTATCAGTACAAACTTCGACATATCTGGTCATCGGAACTGTCGGGAAAGAACAAAGTTGCTGCAACAAATATGCTTGCCGTTTCAATCTTACTCTACTCAACTCGACGTGAAGACCCGAAAAATAATGCATGTCTAAAGGAGTTTGCATCCCAAATCGTCCGTTCCACGGTTTCACTTCCTCTGACAACAGGGAGGCCGTGGACTTTTGACTTTGGATTGTCCACATGACAGAATGGTACTGGATGTAGCCTATAAGTCGTCAAGAGTTCGGATCCCCTTCTCTGCATAGTCCGCGACCATGAGATATCAGAAATTGGAGCATTTTTCTTAGGGCAGCTGCCCGAGCAGCTGATGAACTCGGTTTAGTTTTCGACATTGAACGAGATGATCACAACTCTGTCACCAGTTGGAACCTGTTCAGCAAAAAGCTCATATAAAAGCCGCAGAAATTACCTCACTCCTGCGGAATCACAATGATAAGCTAATGCATGGGGTCTTCTTCAGTAACATCAAAGACCTTGGCTTATCAAAGCCCCTGACTTTAGCTTTTCTCAGGTCGAGTGGGCTGTCGGAAACTGAGGGGTTCATCATGGCTTGCCAGGATGTTGTCTTCAACACTTTAGTTTACCGCAGTCACGTGATGGGTATAGAGGTTCTTGACATAAGGTGCAGGGCCTTAATGCACTTGCTATCAGCATGTCCAACATATGCGGTCTCGGCCTATATCCATCAACATAACGCGGCCCTAAGAGTGCTATATTACCATCTACTGCACTCTTACGGTATTGACCAGACACCTGTGTTACACTACGCTCCAGGGGATATTGAATCTGTTGTGTAGAACGAGAAGTGCCGAATTTAATGGAACTATTCGTTCTCCACCCTCAGGCTCATACAAGCTAATATGTCTAATGCAGTCTTTCTCGACCACCAGAGCAAGACTATATTTGTCGTGGAATTTTCAGCTCCTGGTGAGACGAATATCGTCCGAAAACAGGAGGAAAAACGGATAAAATATCGAGATTTTCTCTTCGAACTCCGCAGACTCTATCCAGAACACTCTGTCAAGATGGGTGTCAGATTATTGGAGTCCTTGGTGGAATGATGCCCTCTCTACTCTTGAATCTTGAAAGCATACCGGCTTGCCGCACTAAGGCAGAAATCTTAGCCGAACAGATGCAGAAGGCTGTCATTCTTGGCTCACTGCGCTTGCTCAGGACACATGATTCTCGGAACCAATTATCACTTACCCCACGGTGTGGGGAGTGGTCGTTGGTTGATAATGCTGGCGCCCCCTCCCAAATGTATCGGGGCTTCGGGGGATAGGGTCTGACCAGCGCATACTACGGCAAATATAATAATAATAATACTATCGACTTTTTTTTGAAACATCATAATAAATATCAGGGAGACTTTCGCCAACTTTACTCATACACTTAACCTAACTATTTAAAGTACCAAATATTATATCTAGAAAAATGCTTAGAAAAATAATGTATGATGAAAAAAAGAAAATAATTAGTATGGAATTAGAAACAGAAAAACACAGTATATACGAATGTATATACTTAAAGCATTTTCAATTTTTCTTTACGTTTTCTTTCGACAATGGAATACTAAAGAGAGCGAATTCAGGAAAATAATTATATTGTCAGCTGTTGTAGAATTGGCCGCGGTGGTAGTGCGCCCGACTCACGATCGGAAAGCCTTGGGTTCGATTCCCGCCTCGACAAGATATTTTTGTCGAGAGAATGTATCTGGTTGAAGCTGGGATGATTCTGCAACCGTGTTAGGAATCACACGTTAAAAGGTAAGACCTCGTTAGTCCTTAGCACGCACAAGTTTCTCAACTTCTGAGAGTTGTTGTTCGTATAGGGGCGACAGTTGATTAACGGAAAAACAGATTTAAACAGAAGCTCCACAAATTAATGGCAGCTAAAATAGAAATGGATTGAAAATATCAGTGAGAATGAACGGTATCTAAAATAAAAACACAATTTCTCTAATCAGAAGTTTGGGATTTTTCTTATAGCCTTCACTTGAGAATAATAGACTATTTGAGGAGTCATGGCATGAATAAATCTTGAAAATTTCAGTGTCGTTTTTATTTTGTAATGATGATTTGGAAAATATGTCTAGAAGTAAGGATTCGAACTTGTTTAGTAACTGATAATGATTCAGGCATAATCAATCAATGAACTCTGTTATAGTTTTTTACCCATTAACATTGTGTCACTAGTAACGCTTCTAAACATTTCATTATGTTACAGATATAGTCAGTTGAAGTTTGAAGTATTATTATGATAATTTCCCTAAAAAAGTGAATAAGAGATAATACAATATATAGGCCTCACTTATGAAAATATTCAAGTATTTCATATATTTGGTATGATTATAAATGAAATAGCGAATGCTGAAAATGTCCTATGTAAAAAGTAATCCAGTTTTCGTTATATGACTTTTCTACCGTTTCGTTCTACCATAACTCCATCCTGGAATTGGAACATGTCCCCTAAATAACAGATAAATATGACATAAATGAAACATTCGAACCGTTCACCGATCAGATAAAACACCGAATGGAAATTGAGTCCTCTGGTGTCTTTATTTATATGAGTTTCGCATATCATGTTTTTTTTCGGTATCGGTAGCAGATGTATTTGCCAACATGGAAATCAGAAAGATAATGGAAAATGAAGAACTTTGATGCCAGAATTACGTAATCACAGTATTTAACCCCAACAAATGTGATTGATTTTGTTTTGTTCAGTTTTCTTCATTTAGCCAACTACAAAAATACGTACTGTGTGTCCACTTTTCCAAAATGTATTGGGGAAAAACATTCACGACTATACATATAGTCACTTACTCTTCAACTAACCCCTAGTAAATGAAGAACGTCAATTATAAAATAGGCTCTAAAATACATTTTTTCCTACCTCGCGTCGCCTCATCAGTAAAATAACTCTTACTGCCATAATACACCTATCCGACTCAAGGTAATAACCATACCATTGCAATTAGCCGAGTTTCAACAGAGAAAGTCAAGAATGAGCCTGACGATCCACAAGTGTATTATGCAGAATTCATCAGGCTCGCAAAACTTGCAGTACCCGAAAATTATTGAGATTCCTTGACCAATTCTGCCACTACTCACCTCACCATAATTTTTAGTTTATGTTCTACAGTTTGGCTTCTAATATGTGTAAATTCATTTCAATTGAATGGATAGCGTGAAAATAATACTCCACAATTAACATTACAGTACTTCACAATTTTCATTAAATGTTAGTGTTGTGTGAATTATGAAGTATTATTTTCACCCTACCCATTCAATTTTTAATTACTTACACCTGACCAAAGTTTCGGTCGGATTCAAATTTATAACAGATGAATAAATGAAAATTCTAAAACAATGTTTTTCTAGCAGAATGTCATTGACTCGACCTATTGAAGAAACCAATGAGAAAATGGTGAAGGTGAAAAGTGAATTATCAGGGAAGAGATCTATGTTAATCGAGAGTTGGATCTTTTAAACGAGTATTTTTACAAAAATGGTATACTGTTGACTGACTAAACTATATTTGACGAGGAAATTATTGGAAGAAAAGTTCCTAGATTATTTTTAAATGCAAAGGACAGATGAAAGTAAAATCTACTGAACCCCTTTGTAATTAACATTTTCAAAAAAATACAAGAAACTGAAAGGAGCTTATACACACAGTAAAAAACAATACAATTTCAAGAACACTTCATTAATGGATATTCAACTATCTCGAAAATAGTACAAACAGTTCCAATTCAAAATCCTCAGTTGTTTACAACAAGACTTTCACATCGAATTGATCCACGGGGCACGTAAATCAAGCTAATCCACCGAATTACACCCCGTATGTTCTTGTGAAATATGAAATGGAATTCAGATAGGTTATCAAAATAGCTAACCAAGCGATATAATATCGACATTATGCTCGCACATGAGCCATTAATCATGAGCGCCCATTATCTATCTTACATTGCACCGTCAACCTATAATACCCTCTATAAAATATAATAAGTTCAGACCGGAATGGATCTGTTGTAGCTATTGTGGGGAATAACCGCCTTTGTGTTGAAGTTTCGATGACAAAACTTAATTGGCCAGTGTTTTCTGGAAAATTTCCAGTTATAAGGTTATAAGACATTCGGTGGTATTAAAAATTTTTAGAATTTTAAATCGATAACATAAAATTTCATTCTTACATATATAAATTTTAATAATATTTATTGAAACCTAAATATATGTATCTCAATATGATGACTAGATACATAACTCACACATAATTTACCATTTACGAAGTACCTATAATTCACGCAGTTAACGTTGTACACCAGACCACTTACTACTACATACAGTTCAACCACACGTGAAAATTGCTCCAAGTAAAGGAGTGCACTTCCACCTTCAAACGGCAGTATTTGCTGCGAATAGAAAAACTCTGACCACGAAGTATTTACTGTTATTAAAACCAATCTATATACTACTGAGAAATATTACTATAAATTAACAGAAATAAAGACAACATTGAATACTCTTTTCCTAACTACTGGATGAATGTGCACTTGTAACTATTCACTAGTATCCAATAATGAAAGTGGGGTTATGTTATGTCCCACCTCAAAAAATGATTTCAGGCCGTTCAATGAATTTTTTTTCAGCACACATGCTTGCTCATTATTTCGAGTAAATGGCGTTCTTAGATAGATTTCAATAACTTTCAGTCGCACCACTACTTATCCGAGCGACTGGCACATAACCAGATCGGCAGACCAGGACTTATCAACCGGTAGCCTAAATATTCGGTTCTGCAATATGACACAATCAGAAAAGTTACAGGCAAGATAGCAATGTGGCGGTATCAATTATTTGTATACTGTTGATACTATCGTACGTTCCAAGTGAACAAACGAACTAAGGAATATCTTGTTGTATTGTTTCGAGTATAGTACATCCGCGAGTAGAAAGTATATGACAGAAATGTACACATTCCA